CAGCCAGTCAGCCAGTCAGCCAGTCAGCCAGTCAGCCAGTCAGCCAGTCAGCCAGTCAGCCAGTCAGCCAGTCACCCAGTCACCCAGTCAGCCAGTCAGCCAGTCAGCCAGTCAGCCAGTCAGCCAGTCAGCCAGTCAGCCAGTCAGCCAGTCACTCCACGTGAAGTCTGCTTTATTAGTATAGATTTGATAACTCTTTCATTACTGTGCCTTGGCTTTTTTGATCATAGTGTTTGACATGCATTGTGATACATCCCTATCTATAGTGCTCTTTCTTGTGCTTTTGTGAATTTTTCTTGTTGAAGATGGCTATCAGCCGGAATGCATCCGAGAAAATATACTGTTAATTCTTCAGAATATTCGTGCTCTGGTTTATCTTTTAATTATTTATTTATTTTATATTGTTAAACTATGCAAGATGCGATTCTTCAGTTATATTACCACATTCCTTTTATCGTTGTTTTTTCGCTTCCTGTACCTATTTTCCAGAAGTTGGCGGGAAATGTTTTGGAAGACCCTCACAAAAATTGAATTATCTCTGCGACTAATGGAGCAAATTTTTAAAATCTTTATACTATTAGAAACCTGATAGTATGGATTTGTCTAAAATTTATTGGGTTTTTTCCCATAGGTACCGTTTTGAGTCCGAGAAAAAAAAATGGGAAACTTACTTTTTGTACGACTCTCGCATTAATGTATGTATTAATGAGAATGTTTATTTGTAGGTCTCTTATGCACAATTTTTCAATAAATCAATCCTGCTGAATTATAATTGTTTGATTTTCGTCAAGCTGAGACTTGATGTCACCAAATCAAGCATATTGATTCAATACCGATTGGTTTTCCATGGTTTCAACTGATCCATCAGCTTTTCCTTCTTTTTCATCTTTTTTTGCAACTGGCTCAAGTGCGCTTCATCGAACTTTTGTATTTCTTCCAGGTCATGTTAGAGTCAAATGAGAAGGATTTGCAAAGAGTACAAGAGCAACTGGCTGCAGTGCGAAGTGAGAAAGAAGCCTTAGAGTCAATACTTTTCTCCACGCAAACTAATCTGGAAGCTAGTGATAAAAAATGCTCCAACTTAGAGAGAGAAATTCAAGATTTAAATGTTAAGCAGGTAAGTCATGTCAAGTTATAATTACCTCTCTTTCAAGATAGTACTCTTTGATTTTGCTGATGTTTCATTTAAAATCCTTCAACTTCAAGCAACTGGCCTTTTTCTATTCAATCATTTACGCACAAGTCACTCTAAAACGACCCTTGATGTATAAAAAATTTCCCTAAATTTCCCAAAAAATCGTCCAATCCTTTCAACTTCCTTTGTCATTCATATACAGTGAAAAATTAATCTGTCGATTGCTGATTCATTATACATACCTATACAGGGTGGCCCAGACCTACCGTACCAGGCCTTTTTGGGTTAATGTAGGTCGTACGAAGTCCAGGATGGCATGGATGAATAGGGAATTGACCCGAAGGAATCGGAATTTCATGGTCACAGAGCCCCATGGAGTCCCTTGGGGTGTAAAAGGGAGGTCCGTACTTTAAGTTAGGGTTTATGTCAAAATTTTGAAATTATTTCATTGGAATCAGAAATTACGGGCATGTTTAACTAGAATCGACACCAAGAAATCCAAAATTGGCCCATCCATGTCCAAAATACCTGACCCCCAAAAGTGGCGAACAGAGCCCCCTTTCAAAAAAATTCAAGTTCGTTAAATTGACGAGGAGACTCGGGAAAAACGTGTATTCATGGGTAATCGACCCCAAGGAATCCGAATTTGAGGGTCCTGTTGTCCTCAGAGACTTTTCTGATGGGGCACAGGGTTAACCCCAATACTGCTTAAAACCCTACAACAAAACGGCCAAATCGGCCTAAACACGGAATCCTACAATTTTCTCAGGGATGAAAGAGGGTCTTCTCAGGCACTCAAAACTGGTCTTATTTTTTGCTCAGCCCCCAGGGAAAAGGGGGGAGAGGGGGTCAAAATTAAAACCTTTAAAGTAGCCTAACTTCTCAACGGTACGTCGTAGAAAGATGATCTTGGTGTCAAAATTTCCAAAAAAATGAGAGCTTTCATAATATTTATGTTACGGTCAATGTTACACTGAAAAAAACACTCCGACCGTGGAAACCGTACTTACGGGCTATATAGAGATACCGTCCGTGTTCCGGGCTGAAAAGTTCAGGCCGAAAGTTCCAAGCGTAGCACCCGGAGCAGTCGAAGTGCTCCGGGTGTTACGCCCGGAACTTTCGGCCTCTGAGCCCGGAACACGGACGGTATCTCTATATAGCCCGTAAGTACGGCTTCCACGGCCGGAGTGTTTTTTCAGTGTAGGGGGCCGGCCGATGCTGTCACTGACCGGCCAATGATAGCATCGGCCGAAATCGAGGGCCAATGACATGATTGGCCGATCAATCATGTCATCGGCCAAAAAGCCCGGTCACTGTTAACATTTTCACCGCGAGGTGAACAATGGCCGGCCGATGTTGACAGTGGCCAATGACTGACGGCCATCGTTCGTTCATATTATAAAACACCGTAAAACTGAAAACATACCACATGAAAGGAAACAAATGAGTGACTGTGTAATTACTACAGCTGTTTGATTTATTTTTTAGAAGGTTTTTTTTTTTATTTATTTTACTTTTCTTTCGACTTTAAAAATTGGAGCATTTTTTTTTCGTTTTTGTTTTTTTTATCCCACAGCTGTAATAATTATTTCAAGAAGCAACGTTGAGTTTTAATTTACCTTATTTGTTGGTGCACGCCTCACTCTTGTGGCACTTGGAGTTACAGAGCAGTCCAGCGGCTCGACAAGCACATCGGTTGTTTGTGCACTTTTGCCGGCAGTTGCATCGTTTGAATCCCTGGCCTCCCGAAACCGAATTAGTGGTTGCTGCTTCGCGGAGACTGACCTCTTTATTAGGAACATCAGAAAGAGAGATGAGATCTGCGTGACGAACAGTAAATTGCGATCTTGTGTACAGTGACTTTAGGATTCCATGCTCTGTTCCTAAATTTATAGAACCCATCATCTTCTGACTCAACTCTCTCACGTTCAATTGATAAATGATAACAGATCCAACATTGGCCGTCACCCATCGGCCAAACAGTACATTGGCCGGCCAATGACATCTTCGGCCGAAACGCCCGGCCACGGTCAACATTGGCCGGCCAATGACATACACTTCCCCATTCCCTAACATTGACCGTAACATTTATATGAAATTAATACTACTTCAAAATTTGACCTACTTTTGGAGGAATTACACAAGGTCCCCCTCTCGTAAAGTTTCGTTTTTCGAGATTTTCGGTCGTTCAGTACGCACAAAGTAAAACAAAAACAATCCTAAATAAAAGTAGAGCGTTTAAGGTTAAAAACAAGCCGAGGTTTATCTTGGGGAAATGATTAGAAGCGGAGTTATGAGTCTTTAAAGTTGACGTGGCGCGCAGGAACCTTGCATGTTCAGAGTCTCAAGGTCACCTGCGCCCCCCGGATTGCTCGCAGGTGGCGAGTTATCGGATTATTTGGGGTCGATTACCCATGAATGTTGTTAAGATAATCCTGCCCATGTTGGCAACACCGCCATGTATGCCTACGTCTTTTTTGTCTGTCATGGTTGTTCGTTAGTTCGGTTCATGTACTCCTCTTATGGAACCTTTTACAACACGTTCGTTTTGACTTTAATAAAGTTCTCTAAGTTTCATGTCATTTTTGTTGGATTCGTTCGCCCTCACCTACTAGTAACAACAGGTTATGGGCCCAGCAGTGCATCGCGAATCGCGAACGCGTTAAGCATCTCAGTGACAAGATTCTGATGGCCTAAATTGAAGCCTCACCTCGTGTTCATCATTTTTTCCTTGTTTGTGTCTATTCTTCCAATCACTGACGTTAGTTCAATGAGTGATGAAAAGTCGGAAAAGTTCACCTTTGAAAAACTTTCCGGTCGGGAAAATTTTTCGGACTGGAAGTTTGCGATGAGGATGTCGCTCATCCACGACGACCTGTGGGTATGTGTCGACGGATACCCAGATTCTGACAAGAGAGATGAAAACAAGAGAAGGAGGAATGATGAGAAAGCACTCGCCAAAATATGCTTAGCAGTGAAACCGTGCATATTTCCACACGTAAAGAACTGCAAATCAGCCAAAGAAGCCTGGACGAATCTCAACAAGGCGTTCCAGGATTCTGGTTTGTCAGGACGCTTAACCTTGCTACGTAAGTTATTCAGTATTAAAAGAGAAAACTTTTCGTCCATGGAAGAGTACCTGCGTGAGATTTTAACAACTTCTTACAAACTAGCTGATCTGAATGCAGAAGCTGCTATTTCTGATGAGTTTATTGGTGTCATTATGCTTAGTGGTCTACCTCCTGAGTTTGACCCACTGATAATGGCTTTTGAACACTCAGGCACAACGATCACCAGTGACATTGTCAAATCAAAGCTCATAAGTGAGTCTGAAAGACGTACAGAGAATGCTGAAGCTGCTTTACTTATTTCTCAGAAACGCAGTGGTTCGAAACCAATCATTTGCCACTACTGCGGTGAGAAGAATCACATAAAGCCTAAATGTCCCAAGCTTAGAAAAGATAAGAAAGCGTTGAAGGCTAAGTCAAATGAGCCAGTCAACAAAGACAAGAAGGATGATTCTACTAAGTCAGGTCGCTCTCTCCTAACCTCACTTTGTGCCAGCGTTACAGCTGATGAGTGGTACGTCGACTCCGGAGCGAGTGTTCATATGACCCATAATAAGTCATGGCTAGATAAATTCTCCAACAAGGATTCTAATCTGAAGATTGCTATCGCTAATGGTCAAGAACTGAACAGTGAAGGAAGTGGTACTGTGCGTGTCTCGCTTGAAAATAGTGACATTAACTCAATATCTAATGTCCTTTTAGTCTCGGGATTGTCTACAAATTTTTTTTCGGTTAAAAGTATGGTAGACAAAGATTTTGAAGTGGTATTTCGCAAACACTCCTGTGAAATATATCCACTAGGAGCCTTAAGTTTTGATAATCTTACACCGGCAGCCACGGCAGAGAACATCAACAGTCTCTATCGTTTGAAGGCCAACGTTAAATCGAGTGCGCGTATTGCAAGTGTGTCTACATCGGACCAAGACGTCGGAAGTGTGAACAGTGCGGGAAATTTAAGAACTTTCGTTTCATCGGATGAAATTATCCCCCAAGATAGTGAAACCGCGTTCAATTCCAATGTCATTTCATCTTTGAATAGTGATCCTGATATTTGGCACCGACGCTTGGGCCACCTCCCTAGATATGGTCTAGATTTATGTCGCAAAGGTCTTGTTGATGGAGTCACCTTTTCCGAGCACAGCAAGACAAAGTGCATACCATGCATCGAAGGGAAACATTGCAGGGAGTCATTTAAGAAGACAAACTGTACGAGAGCCTCAAATTTACTTGGCATAGTTCATTCAGACCTTTGTGGACCCATGTCCTGCAAATCTTTTGGTGGAAAACGCTACTTGTTAACCTTTACAGACGACTTTTCCAGGAAAACGTTTGTCTATTTTCTGGAAAATAAAAGTCAAGTTTTCTCAAAGTTTAAAGAATTCAAAGCTCTGGTGGAAAATGAAACTGAGAAAACGATCAAAGTTCTCCGTAGTGATAATGGTGGGGAATACATCAGCGCACAAATGTCTGATTTCCTTATAAACCATGGCATCAAGCGCCAACTCACTCAGCCCTACAGCCCACAGCAAAATGGAGTTGCTGAACGTGTTAATCGTAGTCTCATCGAAAAAACGTTATGTTTACTCCAAGACGCTAAACTTGGTAAAGAATACTGGGCAGAAGCGGTCAACACTGCAGTTTATCTCAAGAACAGATCTCCCCATAGAGCGTTGGTCAATGCAACTCCAGAAGAAATATGGTCTGGCAATAAGGTAGATGTCAGCCATCTTCGCATTTTTGGCTGTAAAGCCTATGTGCACATCCCTAAAGAGAAACGTAAGAAATTAGATGTTAAAAGCAAATCCATGATCTTCGTCGGGTACTGTGAAAATTCAAAGGGCTATAGACTCATTGATCCTCAAAACCCTAAGAAAGTGACCACATCCAGAGATGTTATTTTTTTGGAAACATCTCTTGGTGCAGCTCAACCAGAAGTAAACGGCAACGCTCACTCTCCTGACCTGATTTCACCAATTTCTGATGAAGACACCTCATCAAGTGAAAATGATTCGCAGTTTTCTTCCAATTCCAAACTGGATGACTCATCATCAAGTGCCTCATCGTTAAGTGAAGAAGTCTCTTCTGAAGACAACTACAGTGAATCCAGCTCTGTTTCATTGACCTCAACCACACTTGAAGGACAAGACCAAGAAGTCTCTGAGCGACGATTTCCTACTAGTGGGGCCGATAAGCATAACAATCGTGCACTTCTGGAAGAAAGCATGAAAATTTCAGGGATTCATCTCTACCCTATAGACATTCGATTCAGACATAGACCCCAAAAATCTGAGCCCCCTGGGGGGGGCAGGGGGGCCCCCAAATTTTGAATTTTGAATAACTACTGAACGGCTAATGCTAGCGTAATTTTTTTTAAGCAAAACGATAGGAAATTTTATCAGGAACAAAAATGGTTCTTATAAATTTTTTTGTGGGATCGATATTTAAGGCGTGAAACGGGAAAAACCATCGGGGGACGGGGAGCCGG